CCCACACCCTCCTGCCGCCATCGAAGCCCCAGCTCCAGGCCCAGCTCCTCCCCGTAACCCTAGCCATTCCATAAACCCAACGCAATGTGGTTCCATTTCCATTAATTTGGTACGCTATCGCGACGTAGAGTCGCCCCATGGAACTCGCTGCTTTCTGCGGTTTCTGTTTCTTTTTATTTTCAGTTGGCTCTTTTAGTTATTTTTGCTGGAAGCGTGAAATGTAATAATGATCTTCTGCTTTGCATTTTGACAATATTTTTCTTTTCTTTTTTGTTTTCTGCGGGTGCCCGCCACAAAACACGAACTTACACACCTTTTCCTTTTAGCCTCCCTTGCCCCTGCCATGGAGTTATGATAAATGTTTTGCATGTTTAATTGTTTTATGGTTCTTTTCTCTCGGGGTTATGGCTTCTGAAGCTTTCTAATTAACCATAGAACTTGTTGAAGGATAAATATTGGTTTAATGATTATTAATAGCCGAGGGTTTTAAGTGGTTCGGAGGAAATTAACCACCAATTAGTGGAAAGAGTTGTGAGGCAGAGCCGAGAAGTTCTACTCCCTTATTTCCATCCTCACTTTATCACTCTTATTTAATATGTGGCTTAATTCTAGCTTAACCAATAGTTAATCCCATTCGACACATCGCCCGATCGCTGGTCCTGGACTATAATTATGAACGCGTTCGGCTAAACATAATAATGGCCAAGTGATTAACAGTCATGGGAAATGAATTGCCCGCAATTTCCCAGTTGCATGCTGCATGGATTTCAAAAAAAAAAAAAAAAAAGCCTGTGTGCGTGCCCATTGCAATCGAAAATTCTATCGCAAGTACAACGCACCGGAGATTTTGGCCCTTCGGTTTTGGTTCTTCTTGTTGTTGTTGTTTTTGTTGCTAAATAAAAGTACCACCGCCGGGCGGACGCCAACGCCAGCTGTGACGTCGACATCGACGCACAGTGGAGAGCTTAATGTGACCGCCGCGGCTCGGACTCCTTGCAATCTGGATTTTGTGAAAGGAGGTGGGGCTGTGCTGTCGGATGGCCTTCGCCTTTAACAGCATTCATCCATCTATACTCGCGGCTGCTTTTGCTTCTTCTTATACTCAGGTTGATCTCCTGATCCTCACCATTTGTATTTGTATTAGTATTTTGTATCTGAACGAAAAAAAGATTGAAAAAGAAATTATAATTTGATACTTTTTGGGTGACTTTTGTAAAGAAAGGATCAATCATATTCGCTGTCATAATCCCTAAAATCCTTAAAAGCTTCAAATTACATTCGGAAAAAAATATCTTGATCAACACTAATGTCTAGTGTTTTAAAATTTTTTACTGTGTGCTTTTGTGGCGTCGCCGCGATCTTCTTCTTGTTGCGTCCTCCTCCCCCTATGCTCCAGCCCCACCACCACCTCCACCTCACCTTCTTTTCGTCCTCTTCCTCTTGTTCCCATTTCATTGCTAGTTGCTGTTCTTGTTCCTGTTGTTGGCTTGTTGTTTTTGGTCTAAAAATAAACTCGGCACCAGATTGAGGAATTTAATTCGCCTTTTGGTAGAAATCCTCGACTTTGGCTTTACCAACGGACTTTGGTTTGCCACTTTTGCTTTGCTTTTCCGCCAATTCCTCATCCCCATACCCATTCCCAATCCCCCTCCTCCAAACTTCGTATATATTTTTTTTTTTATGTTTTTGTTGCTCCTGTGTATCCACATCCATTTTAGCGTCAAGTTTAGCGATGATGCTGATGATGACGACATGGACATGGCATCTAAAAGGAAGAATAACTAGAGGAGCACAAGGAGGAGCCGAAGACCTGGATCGTATCCCCCCAACTAATACACACATTTTCCGCTTGGGATCAAAGGATTAATGTGAATCGGGTTTGCCGGCTTGAGAAATGACATTCAGATATTCTTTTGAGACGGACATAGCAGATCCACTTCCACTTGCCTGACTTCTAATTAGAATATGTATATCTTTCAGATAAACTAGCCTATTGGTGTGTGTTGTCCTTGGCGGTACGAAGGTCATCAGCATTTCCATCGGAGGTCACACACATACACATTATGGCAACTGTCGTGAGGGCCAAGCCCACAAAATGGCAAGAACATGACCAGCAAACCGATCAGAAGGAATCCTAGACCATCCTCCTTGAATTCGTTCATGCATAAATTCATAATTCCCCCCCCCACTTCCCGCTCTTGCTCTACCTATCCGACTGCCATGAGTCATGTACATTAATAATAAACTTATTAAAATATGCACAAGTGAAGGTAAGGTCTTTTTAAATAAATGCATTTCCTTTGAGATGTCATTTCCTTTGGCTAAGCTTATAAAGAAATCTCATTGAAATATCCATGATCCCCAATGATCCTTTCCACCACCCACCTTCGATTGGCCTCCTTCGGGTTGTTCTTCTTTATCTTTTTGGCCAGGTCGCCTTGACCATAACCATATCAACGGTAAATAATTTCGATCACAAAGCAATGAAGCTGAAACGAAACGAGAAACGAAACCAAATGAGTCTTGGCTTGGCTTGGAGGATTGCTAATGGGGATTGGTATGGTATGGTATGGTTTGGTATGGATAGAAACTGGCAATCAAAGTTGAGGAGAGAGAATTGGGGACAGCAAAGAATTTGGACGGTGATGTCTATGCGATTCAGCTTTTGGCCAACAGAGAGATCCAAAGAGGTGGATCTCCTCCTTCACGTCATTTCGGATTCCATGTCAAAAGGTGAAGCCAATTCAACGTTTCTGGCGAACTGGGCAAAAAAATCACGACCAGCTCAACAGCAACAATCGGGGCTATAGAACAGCAACACCAACAACAACAACAGAAACAGCAATAAATGGCCAACAATGCCAAACTAACCGCATCAACACGAAAATCACTTCATGCAGTTCTTAGGCTTAGGTGCTGGGGGGGTGGCAAGGGATCCCCAAAAAAAGGGGATTCGGATGATTTCAACTAATTTGTGAGTCGCGCAACTCATTGACCCATGCATGATCTGCTTCCACAAAGCACAACAATTCCCATGTCTCAATTCGATATAGAACAGATGCTGTCTTAAGGTCTGATTTCTACACAGAAATTCTATAAAAGTTAAGGTTTAATAATTGAAGTTTGATATCTTAAGTAAGGGGTTTAACTATCAAGTTCAAGAGATCTTTTACTGAAAACCTTGCAAGGCTTTTTCTTAAAGAAATTTGGAATAAATCTCAAAGATTTTTATACCTTTATCATACCTTAAATATCAAAAATCCAAAAGTCACACCCCTTAGTTTCTCTCTGTGTAGTAATGCCCCAAACAAATGGCCAACAAACTTAGAGCGCGCGATCTTCTCATGTCGCTAATACGGCCATTAGACCTAAACGGTTAGAACTCAAAGAAAAGGAAGAAATGACGAGGAGGAGTTGGAAGAGTGGAGAGATCCAAGTTAGAAGAAAGGGGGAGACCAGCTGGGGGGAGCTGGAAAGCTAAGCAGGAAACCAAAAAGCATTCTTAATGAAGGGAATCAAATAGAAATGAAAGAAAGACGGAAGTAGGCTTTTATGGGCAGACACACTGCCCGGCCAAGATTATAGCCAAGTTAGAAGAAATGCCAAAAGGAGGGGGGGGGCGTGGCGTGGCGGGGCAGAGGGATTCATTTGCGAAATTGAAATGCCACTGCCAACCTTTATGCGGGTGCGGATGTGGTAGGTGGGTGTGGGTTCAAGAACCTCTCTGAGCCATGACTAACCGAATGACTGATAGCTGCGGCTAGTATTCCGTGCCGACTATACGTATAAAATTTTTTTTTTGTTTTTGTTTTATGTATGTGGCGGCGAAGTGCCGCTCCAAAGTGCCCGCCCGATTCTGCACTTGACCGATGTCCGTGGCCCAAGAACTTTTTACCGGGCCACATAATTACATGCCAGCTCCCGCTGCACCGCCCCATTTTCCCACCCTTTGCTTCTTGTCAGCAGAGAGAAAAACTAAATGGATTTTATAAAATATCCCCTTCCTAATAGCCAGGATATGAATATTTCTAGAAATATTATTTTCTTCAGTGTCTCTTCTGGCCAAATGCCGACAGCAGATTGTGTTTGTGTCGCCTACGATCGAGCTGGCCGTGGATGTGGATGTGGATACGGATGTGGGGCTGCATGAGTATGTGCTTCTCACGACAGCCGTGAGCCTGGAGCTTGGGCTGGATCTGAAGCCGTAGTTGAACCGAAAGCTGAATCTGAAGCTAGAACACGCCGCCAGTAGCAGACATTGAGGCCATAGACCATAGAGCCATAGCCATCGCCATAGCCATAGCCGTGGCCTAAACTCAAAGTTAAAGCCAATGTCTTGGCCAGATCCAAATGGCAATGCAGGGGCTGCCAACACGAGCTTGATGACTATTATGTGGGCAGAGGTCGGCGGGGTCGGTGCACCGTGAACTTCTCATGAAAAGCCTAACCATGGGGAATTTAATAGTGCTTAGCACCAGCAGAAGACACCCGAGAAACCATCAGAAACCGAAACAGAAACAGAAACAGAGACAGAAGCTTATGGCAAGCCACAGATACAGATACAGATACAAATACAGATTGGTAGCTGTAGTTCGTTCATTTGGCAGTCAATTATGGCCAGAAGCCAAGCAGAGTCATGCTGGCAGCACCTGGCAGCATTATGAATACTCGAATAATGGCCAAGCACTCACCACGGATCAGTCAAAGTCACAATTGGTGTTGGAAAAACTTAAAAGCCTGTTAGGAATAAACTAAAAATAGGCCAAGAGTTTCAAAGTTTTCTACTTTTCAAAAGAAAACTATTCCAAGTCTGATTGCTAATCAAGATTGTGGGACACCTTTTGCATATATTTTATACTAGGAGAGGTCAGTGCCTTAATCTCTGATCGCAGTTCTAGAAGCTATTGCGCAATAGGCACAAAAACAGAAAGCGAATGCTAATGATAATGATGCCCCCATGGAGCAGATCGTTTCTTTTATTTTTTCTTTTTTTTTTTTTGTAACTGGGAATCATAATTTACTGGCCAAGTAGAGAAATGTGGCAAATAAAATGGCTGAAACTAGACCCCTGCGGCCAGAGGAACTGTGATACACTCTCTCCTGCATCATGATGCGTCCTTCTCGTTCCGGATAGATGACCTTGTGCTCCTGCAGATACCGGATCACAGCCATCCGGTCGAGGATGCTTAGATTCTGAACAGTCGGCTTGCGGCTATCAATGAAGTTATAGCCTTCGCCTCCATGGAGCAAAAACGATGTAAGGACTACGCCGTAATAATTTTCAGGGATGACGTTCTCGTAGTGGGGAATCTGACACGAGGAACACAAGGCCTTGATCTCTGTAATCCTCTGTCCTTTGGGATGGCTGTAGTTGAACTTCAGCCGGAGGCCGGACACCTGAAGGAAGCCACCGGTGTTGTCTGTGGACCGCAAATAGGCGGAGTGCTCGAAAGCCCTCATCAACTGAGCACCACTGATTCTGGTATAGAAGAGTTCCTGGCTTAATGGTAGAACCATTACCACATCGGCCTCAGTAATGGCACCCGTTTCCCCAGGCTCAATGGAGGCCCGGATGGCTAGGATTAAAGATTATTTATATGAGGATAAACTTCTTAATGAAAATCCTACCTCCCGCATTGATTATCCCAATAGAGGCATCTGTCCAGGAGCTTCGATCACTCATCGTCTCCAAAACCCGGGCGTAAACAAAGCTATCGGCTATGATATTCCCAAAGTTACACTCTCCCAGACCACAGCTCTTCCGGTCGCCATTCAGGAATACCGTGGTAGTGCCCACCACGTGGTTCTCCATGTCTTTAATCACCTGGCGGTATTTCTCGAGATACTCCTGTATATCTTGTCTGGGCTGGAAGGTGTTATCCAAGAGGATTGGGTTTCCGTTAAAGTAAATAAGGTTTCCTCCGCTATCGAACTGAAATTAATAATAATTTAATATTTTTATAAGCCCATTGTTACTCAATACTCACTTCTAAATTAATCTTTCCCAAATACTTGGTATAAGCATAGGCTTGCAAAACCAAAACTTTCCGGCCGTCTGGCTTGATCACTATTGTGGGATAAGGACCCTCTGATACGTCTTTATCGGGGACCCTTCCCGAGTACAGAAACGTATGCGATTGGCCACCCACTACGATGTCCACATCGGGACAATGCATAGCTATATCCATATCCGCTTGATAACCCGAGTGACCCAATGCAATTATAATATTTACATTATTCTGGATAAGTATTTTGGTTATTTTGCTAAAAGAAATATTTAAGAAGTTTAAGATTATTAAACAAATTGGACTATGAAATACTTAATGGATGAAATCTCCCTTTTGTAGATCACATTGTTGGGCTGAGTGCGTTGTTTGGTATCGGATCTTATATAGCCAACGACTCCAATTAATGTTTCGTTCAAATTTAATATTTTATATTCCATTAATTTTGCACAAGCGGCCAATTTGGGCTCATGAGTCAGGTTTAAAGTCCCACTGACCACGGGAAAGTTGACTAGTTCCAAGAATTCTATCAGCTTAGGAACGCCATCATCGAACTCATGGACTCCGAGAGCCTGAAAAATTTTATTTGGTTAATAAAGAACAAAAATATTGAAAACATTACTAACCATGGCATCTGGTGCCAGCATATTCAGAAGTTCCGCCACCATTTTTCCTCCGTAGACCGAAAACCAAGGAGTGCCCTGAAAAGTGTCGCCAGCATTTAAGTATATGGTAGGTCCTGAATTCCTGGCCTTTTCTAAACTAAATGGAAATATCAAAGATAAGTTTTAGTTCAAATACAAAACACTTACGCGGTGGCCACTCTACCAAATCCTCCAAAACACTGGCCCTGTTCATCGTCGACGGGTTGGCATTTTCCACCTTTAGCGGAAATCGGATCGAACCAGGCGTGCATGTCATTTGTATGCATTAACATAAACTTCACACCATGGATCCATCTTAGAAACAAGAGCACAATAATCCATCGCAGCAGAGGAGGTAGCATTTTTTCTTAAATCTTTTCAAGATTTAATGAATGGAAATCAAAGGAACACTATGATTTGGCTTACAATTTGTATAGCCTATTTTTGGGGTAGGTTCAACAGCGACTTGGAGCAACCATAAAAGTATGCTACAGTTATAGATGGTACTTGATGCCTAAGAGAATATATACAACTACTGTGTGGCACTTTAAATTTTATTAAATTCTTAAACTTAAAGCTCTAAAAAATTTGTTTGTATAAATTAACAATTTTATTATTTTCTATATTTCTTTATCGATATTTTGTTGTTCTATAGAACATATTTTTGGTGGAAAATTACTTCTTTGAATGCTGATCTGGTTTAAGGCAAATAATTAGCATCTAACTTAAGTTGGATTTGGCAATCTTAGCTAAGCAATCGCATCAATAAGGACGAAATGCATAGAAGGAAAAACGATCCAAAGATTCCTTGCCCACTCGAAGGCGAACTCAACACGATGATGCGACCCTCGATCTCTGGATAAACATACTTCTGCTCCTGTAAATAAAATGTAACAGCTTCCTTGTCGTTTCTTGTCAGGCGCACCGGCTTATGAACTCCATCCTTGATTTTGTGACCATCACCGCCGTCCAACAGAAACTCGCCAACAATTACATTATAGCTGGCAGTATCGTTAAGATCGCTGTAGGACGGAATACTACAGGCGGCACATCGCACCTGGACGGAGACCACCCGCTGGCCCTCGGGCTTTCTAGCATCTATAACCACATGTATCCCGGAGACTTGGAGGAAACCACCATCCGAATCCTTGCCCATCAAACTGGCTCCATGCTCAAGAGCCTGTCGAATCGATTTGCCCGTCATGGGAGTCATGTAGAGCTTATTTGCCCAGGGCAGAACAGAAAGAATATCATTGTCGGTTATAGATCCATCCGATCGTTTTTCAATGGAGCTGCGAATACCTTAAAATATGTGGTTTAAATATATTCTTTAAGTCTTTCAATATTTGAAAATACAACCTCCTCCCTGCATCAAAGAAATGGCGGCATCAGTCCAGAAATCGCCGCCCTGATCGTCCACCATTCGGCTGAATACCATAGCGTCGGTCACCAGGTTTCCCAAGTTGCACTCCCTAGCCCGGCAAATCTGTTTACGTCCCTCCAAGTGAACCCTGGTATAACCTCTGATGTCCTTTTCCAAGGCAGTGACATTGGGACGATAGACCTCCAGCAACTCAAGCAGATCCTGCTCCTGAGCCACTGAGGCATTCAGCAGAATAGGAGAACCATCCCATTCAATGAGGTTACCTTCGGCATCAAACTAGAAATAGACAAAATATTTAAAAAGGGCTTGAAAAAAATCCAAGAATAATTAAAAGCTATTACCTGAACATGAATCTTTCCTAGATACTTGGTATAAGCATAGGCTTGTACCACTGGCACCTCCTTCCCGCTCTTTTGCTTAATTACTGTGGGATAAGGACCATCAATGTGATCCACATCTGGCTGGGGACCGGAGTACAGAAAAGTGTTGGTGTGGCCACCAATTACAATATCCACATCCGGACACTTTTCAGCTATCTCCTGATCTTTTGCATAGCCGGAGTGGCCCAAGGCTATAATGATTTTAATGCCCTGAGCTTTCAGTTTTTTAGCTTCAATACTAGTCAAAAAGAATTTGAATAATTATTTTAAATAATCTTTTAAAAATATGTATTATCCTTCTTACTTGATAGACTCTACTTCCTCGTTAAAGTCCACATCCATATGAAGTGTAAGTTTCTTGGTGTCGGGCGTCAAATAACCAATCACACCGATCTTGGTGCCATTTGCCTCCAGGATGGTAGAGTGGGCCAAGTGCCTTGTGGCCTTAAGTTCGGGCACTTTACTCAGATCCAAGTTACAGGCCAATACTGGGAAGTTGACCTCATTAAGGAAGGGTATCAGACCCTCGACCCTCTCATCGAACTCATGGTTACCTAAGGACTGTAACAAATAATTTTAATTTAATGATTGAACATAAGAATTATTTCGTTCTTGAGACTTACTATAGCATCTGGCTCTAGTTTGTTGAGGAAGGCACTTGCTATTTTGTCCTTGAAAATGGTAAACCAGGCCGTGCCCGTGTAGGTATCTCCAGCATTCAGATATAGTACGGATGTACCGCCCTCCTTAGCCTCCTTGCGATACTTACGAACCCTATGGACCAAAAAGGCATAATAAGCTTGCATTTTCTTGGTTTTGAGAGGATAACTTACTCATAGGCCACTCTTGCGAATCCTCCGTAGCATTTATTTGTATGTGCATCCTCGGGGGAACAAATGCCACTGTTTACACTAGTTTGTTCGAATCTAGCATGCATATCATTGTTGTGAAGGATAATAAACTCGGTGGCCACCTTCGGGTTCCTGGGAACAGGATTTGCCGTCACTTGGTAGCTCAGTAAGAGAACCCAGAGCCAGGAGAACCACAGAGATTGCATCTTAAATCTGAGAAAGAATGATAGTTGAGATTTTCATCGTTTACAAGCCATAAGCATTTGATAAATGTATGATTATCTTTATGGCCCGTTAATGACTGTAATCGCTTTACAAACTCTTACAGATTGAAGGTAACCATGCACTCGACTTCATTATCGCGATTAATTGCTTCAACCGAATTACATTTTCAACTCATTCCAAGTAATAACGATTCAATTAATTCGAAAAGCAAAAAACCCAACTCATATTAAGTGTCCGCCCTGTGGGGCATTCACTGTCTAAGCAAACAGTTGATATAACCGGCTGCTCAGGTGACAAGCAGAACTTTATGATTGGTTCCTAGTTTCCCAGACTATTTGCAAATTAGATTTTTTTTTAGATATATGTAGGTTTATTTTTAACAGTGGCCAGAGAGATAAACATATCTTGTTTACTGGGGACGAGAGTGAAAACTAACTTTCAAAATAATAACTAAATTATCTGAAGCGTTACAATGCTCCAAATTTTCACATTTGAACCTAATTTTCATATAAAGCAAAAAAGATCATTTCAAGCGTGATAGCCATATGGACAATGAGGGGTTTTTAGAGTGGATCTCCCATTTTCGGAAGCACTGCATGTCCATAAATTACAAACAATTACAGACAGAAAAAACAAACAAACCGAATCGCGAATATTTTTGTTATCATTTTCACGCCCAAGCCTCTCTGAATATTTGCATTTTCCGATGCCTCAATACAATTTTTAAAAGTAAACATTTACAAATAATGCAACACTTGGGTAAATAGGTTACCTTTTCAGATAAAAATAACTTAAATAACAAGATCACGACTCTGAACGTACTTCTTTTCCGTAATTCTTTGTATTTCAATAAAAATGAGCCATGTGGGCACTGAATTATTATTCTGGATAATAATTTTTGGGCTAAATTTCCTATTAATTTAAAATTATTTAATTCCGGGAGACCTTATCTTGCTTTGTAAAGTCCCACTTCCTATAGTTATTGTATATAATTTTCATATAGTCACAATTTCAGCACTCGACCTCGTGTTTTTGTATTACAAATAAGGGCACGTTCTTGTTCAGACTCTAATTGGTAAATGGTATTGCCAACTTGCGGTTACTTGTTGGCCGTAGAAATGTTAATTGCGGTTGCATTTTAATTGAAAAAAAAAACTAATCACAACTATGGGTTTCGCTCTCGTTTTCTACTATAATTTAAATACAACCTTCACTACCGATGTCTACAATCGCACTGGACTGCGACACTTCTCTTTGCTTTCCGCGATCGCCGCTGCTCTGCTGCGTTTAGCATTTTATTGTCATTAGAACTTTGTTTTATATTAAATTAATTCGCTGCACATGGGTGCCTCTTTTTGCACTTGTATATGGCACCCGGCAAAACACAAACACACCCACACTCGTAAAAACACGGAGAGAATACTCTTCTCCCGCATAAAATTGTTCTCAGCTGTTGATATGCTGTTACGTATACGTAACGTGTCTTGAGAGGCTGTCGGAGGTGCTGACGAAAAATGGACAAAAATTCTAAAAAATATTTTGTCTCGGGATTTTGATGCAGAATGGTGGAGAATCAATCCAGAAATCGATTAAGGTACTCCGCTTGAGAATCGGGTGAGAATTGGGGAAGATATAGCCATCACAGTGGACCCTATAAGGGAAAACCCCATTTTCAAGGGGTCCCATCACGAAAAATGGACAAAAAATCTAAAAAATATTTTGTCTCGGGATTTTGATGCAGAACGGTGGAGAATCGATCCAGAAATCGATTAAGGTACTCCGCTTGCGAATCGGGTGAGAATTGGGGAAGATATAGCCATCACAGTGGACCCTATAGGGGAAATCAGCATTTTCCATCAGAAAAATGGACAAAAAATCTAAAATATATTTCGTCTCAGGATTTTGATGCAGAATGGTGGCAAATTGAACCAGAAATCGATTTAGGTACTCCGCTTGAGAATCGGATGAGAATTGGGAAGGATATAGCCATCACAGTGGGCCCTATAGGGGAAATCAGCATTTTCCAGGGACCCCATCACGAAAAATGGACAAAAAATCTAAAAAATATTTAGTCTCGGGATTTTGATGCAGAATGGTGGAGAATCGATCCAGAAATCGATTAAGGTACTCCGCTTGAGAATCGGGTGAGAATTGGGGAAGATATAGCCATCACAGTGGACCCTATAGGGGAAATCAGCATTCGAAAAATGGACGAAAAATGGACGAAAAATGGACAAAAAATCTAAAAAATATTTTGTCTCAGGATTTTGATGCAGAATGGTGGCAAATTGAACCAGAAATCGATTAAGGTCCTGCGCTTGAGAATCGGGTGAGAATTGGGGAAGATATAGCCATCACAGTGGACCCTATAGGGGAAATCAGCATTTTCCAGCGATCCCATCAGAAAAATGGACAAAAAATCTAAAAAATATTTTGTCTCGGGATTTTGATGCAGAATGGTGGAGAATCGATACAGAAATCGATTAAGGTACTCCGCTTGAGAATCGGGTGAGAATTGGGGAAGATATAGCCATCACAGTGGACCCTATAGGGGAAATCAGCATTTTCCAGAGATCCCATCACGAAAAATGGACAAAAAATCTAAAAAATATTTTGTCTCAGGATTTTGATGCAGAATGGTGGCAAATTGAACCAGAAATCGATTAAGGTACTCCGCTTGAGAATCGGGTGAGAATTGGGGAAGATATAGCCATCACAGTGGACCCTATAGGGGAAATCAGCATTTTCCAGAGATCCCATCACGAAAAATGGACAAAAAATCTAAAAATTATTTCGTCTCGGGATTTTGATGCAGAATTGTGGCAAATTGAACCAGAAATCGTTTAAGGTACTCCGCTTGAGAATCGGGTGAGAATTGGGGAAGATATAGCCATCACAGTGGACCCTATAGGAGAAAACCCCATTGCAAGGGGTCCCATCACGAAAAATGGACAAAAAATCTAAAAAATATTTTGTCTCGGGATTTTGATGGAGAATGGTGCAGAATCGATCCAGAAATTGGTTAAGGTACTCCGCTTGAGAATCGGAAGAGAAACGGGGAAGATATAGCCATCACTGTGGACCTTTTCAAGAAAAATGGACAGAAAATCTAAAAAATATTTTGTCTAAGGTTTTATAACAAAGGATTGCCCTAATTCTAATAAGGTTTGGCCTCCCGATATAAATATCCGACCTTAACCGGAAAGGGTATATAAACTTCGGCTCTGCCCGAAGTTAGCTTCCTTTTCTTGTTTTTTTTTTTTTTATTTCTTATCAATTGCGAATCATAAATCAAAAATTAAAAAAAGGTCAGACAACCTTGTGCACTCAAAAAAAGGTCGTTAAAAAAAGAAAAAAGACAATTATTTAAGGTTTAATTCTCTTTAATTCGCAAAGAAATAAAATATGTAGACAAGCAATTATAATTTTCGGTGCTTGGAAAGCAATCCAAAGCAGCTACATTTCGCCTATGGATTTACTTGCCAATTGAAATTAAAAACCGAAGCATCATGTACAAAAAGTTAATTATAAATCACGAAACAAAAATAAGAACTATTTCAAAAATAGCTTTCTCAAAACTAGTCATAGAAAGGCAATTTATAAAATAAATTAGATACATTACTTCTATAGATAAATTATCTTCTAAAGTCTCTTTGAGTATCCGCCTTGTGCATAAAATATAACTTTATTATATTTAAATAAATAATTAAACTGTGGCTCGGTTCCTATTTTGCCATAAGTTTTATTAAGTTATATTTACATTTATTTTTAGTGGCACCCATAGAGATAATCATATCTTGTTTACTTTTTTTGAGAGTACAAAATGATCTGTCAAAAGCGTCAAAACACAATTCGAAGCTAAGTCAAAGTGCGAATAAATAATGATACAATTACACATTCACATGTACACTTTTTAAATTAATTAATGAAGCCATAAAGAGACATTGACATTAAGAGGGTTTTTCGTTAAATCCAAAAATCCCCAAACCTCAAAAAAAACTTGTCGGGGTCATTAAAATTTATTTTGAAATAAATATATGTATACTTGGGGAGCGGTGTTTTGCAGCATGCTTTTGCAAAAATGCATTCTCATAAATTGCGAAAAGGCAATATTACAAAATGATCGCAATATTTTCACGCCCGTGCTTATTTAAGCAAAACTGATGATTTCCGATGCAGAAATATGAAACCATTTTAATAAGAACCAATTCACACGATGCGGCACATGTATCAATGGGGGTCAGATATTTGGTATTAAAAAAAAAAAAATATGAAATTTAAATAAATCTGATTTAGGTTCAGTTTTTTATAAAAACAGCTTTCCACTTAATATTATAGAAGCACTAGTATCTGACTTTATTTTATTTTTGTAATACATTTTTAATGTTTTTTTAATAGAGCTTAATTTTCTTATTTTTTCCGCACGGAAGATTTATACAACCTTTGCCACTAAAGTCTACAATCGAACTGGACTGGCGAAATTCTCTTTGGTTTTTGCGATCGCAGCTGCCTTCTCTGCTGCTGCGCCGGCGGCTTGTTTTAAGTGTTATTAGAAGTTTGTTTTATTTTCGCTTTATTTAACTCACCCGTATGCACATGGGTGCCAATTTTTGCACTTGTGTGGGAATGCCAGCAAAACACCAACACCACAATACACGCGCATGCGAGAGAATCACTTTCTCTCTTTATCGCATGAGAGCGGTACGTTATTTTGTTACGTATACGTAATATGCCTTGAGCGGCTGCCGCGCTTTGATTTTCTTATCGTATTTAATTATATCATTTTTATATATTGTATATATATAAATAATATATATTTTCTAGCTCAGGATTTTCTGAGCCGACATAAGCATGTTCGCCTATATGTTGCGACTTCATGGAAAGTTAAAACTTTAAACATTGCAGAACTCCATTTTAAGTTAACTCATACGATTTAAAAAATATTATTTTCAGAACTAAATATTATATCTTTCGCATACATTTTTATA